GCAGACTTTGCAGGTCTCCCTATTACAGGAAAGAACTTGAAAGGGTTCAGAAAAGCTTTACAAGCATGTTGCCAGGCTTGGAGGGTTGAGCTGCAGGGAGAGGCTGTATAGGCTGGGGCTATTTTTCCTGGAGGATTGGAGACTGAGGGGTGACCTTTATAGAATCATGAAGGGCATGGATAGGGTGAATAGCCAAGGTCTTTTTCCCAGGGTAGGTGAGAGGGGAAAGAAAGGGACAACTTTTTCACCTGACAGTGGTGTGTGTGTGGAATGAGCTGCCAGAGGAGGTGGTGGTAGCTGGTACTATTACAACATTTAAGAGGCATCAGGATAAGTATATGAATAGGAAAGGTTTGGAGGGATATGGGCCGAATGCTGATAAATGGGATTAGATTAATTTAGGATATCTGGTTGGCATGGACGAATTGGACCGAACGGTCCGTTTCCATACTGTGTATCTCTATGACTCTGAGTGTAACTAAGGAATTCCAAAGCTTAGGGGCTGTGGAAGTGAAGGCATGACCACCATTGATGGAGTGATTAAAGTCCACAATGTTCCACAGGCCAAAATTAGAGGAGATAAGCGATCTTGGAGAATGTGAGGGGATTATGGAGATTATAAAACGCAAATAGGATAAGAACCTCAAAATCTGGACACTTTTTGACTGGGAGACGATATAGTTCATAGAACACAGGTCATAAAGGAACCAGACTTGCTAAAGGCAGACTGCAGAGTTTGGGATGACATCAGGTATACAAAGGGTAGAATGTACAAGATCAGCCAGAATTGCATTGGAATCGAGAGGTAACAAAATAATGAGAAAAGGTTTCAATAGCAGAGGAGTCGAAACAAGGGCAAAGTCAGGCACTGATTCACTGTCACTCGGTTTGGCTTCTACCAGGGCCATCAAGTTGCTGAACTTGTTGCAGCCTTGGTTCAGACATGGATGAAAGAGCTGAATTCCAGAGGTGAAGTGAGAGTGACAGCCCTCGACATCAAGGCTGCATTTGACTAAGTGTGGCATCAAGGACCCCTATCAAAACTGGAGTCAATGGGAAGCAGAGGGAAACTCACAGGAACACACAGGAAGATGAGATAACAAAGTGTGGAGCTAGAGGAATGCAGCAGGCCAGGCAGTACCAGAGGAACAGGAAAGCTGATGTTTCAGGTCGGGACCCTTCTTCAGAAAGCTGGAAAATGGTTGTGGTTATTGGAGATCTGTCAGCTCAGCTCTTGGACATATCTGCAGGAGTTCCTCTGACTAGTGCCCTAGCTCAACCATTGTCAGCTCTTCATCAATGACCTTCCCTCTATCATAAGTCTGATGTGGGGATGTTCACTGATGATTGCAGAATGTTCCACTTTATTCACAGCTCCTCAGAAACTGAAGTAGCCCATGTCAAAGTATAACAAGTCTTAGATAATACCCAGAGTCATGCCACACCAATGCCATGCAGTGACAGTGGGCAACAGGTGAGAATTCCAGAGTCCTCACCTTAATGTTTAATGGGTTTATCATTGCTGAATATTGGACTGTCAATATCCTAGGGTTTAGTATCGACCAGAAGCTCACTTGGACAGGCCATGTAATATAATTGCTACAAGAGCAGGTCAGAGGCTGAGAATCCTGACCTGGATGGGTGTAGCTCCAACAACACTCAAAAAAAACTTGACACCATCCAGGACAAAGCAACCCACTTGATTGGCACCACATCCACCAACATTTGTTCCCTCCACTATTGATGCTCAGTAGCAGCAATATGTGCTACCTAAAAGATGCACATGAGAAATTCAGTAAGGCTCCTTAGACAACACCTCCCACAACCACTTCCATCTAGAAAGACAAGGGCATCTGAAACATGGGAACATCCCCTGCAAGTTCCCCTCCAAGCCACTCACTATTCTGACATGGAACTATATCACTGTTCCTTCAGTGTCCCTGGGTCCTGGAACTCCCTCCCTAATGGCATTCTGGGTGTTCCTGCATCAGTTGGACTGTGCCTGTTCACAAAATTAGCACCTTGCCCATGATTGATTATCTATTCTATTCCACTTTCCTGGATCCCTCAGTTCCCTTATTCAGTTCTCTTAAACAATTTATGCAGAATCGGGGAACAGGGTGTTGATTGGTTGGTTGGCAAGTGGACTTTGAGGTATTGCTATGGAGAATGCACCAAAGTTTTTATTTAGATTTAGAAAAGGCAAGTGGAGTTGATTGGTGAAGATGTGCCATGGAAAATGTATGTGGCGCAATGTTCTTGAGGCTTCATTTGAGAAGCTACAATGCCTGGCTAATTTTTCTTTGCGTGCAGATCTCATGACCCTGCACATGAATAAACATAGTTTCTACTAAGGTGATAAATGACTACATTGTTAGCTTGGCTGATAATCTTAAATTGGTTGTTAGTGTAATTCTTGGATTCACAGGATTGTTCAGCAGTGATATCCAGTTATGGAATTGCTTAGTGTTTCATGCGCCAGAGTACCCAATCTTTCTGAGTATCCTGAAAGCTCTAACTGCTTTCCACAGAAGTTTGAAGTTCCAGTTTGTGTGGAATTTTTTGTATTTCACTCCTGGGGTTTCTTTGCTGTCATGACATCCAGAATGATATTAAAGTAGCCTTCCTGATTGGTAAATATTATGCAAGCCTGTGAAACTAAGATAGCTGATGCCCTTGCCTCTCACTCCCACCAAAAAATTGCAACCAAGTTAACTCATTTTGAGATTGAGGAGAGCATCACTTGTCAATTGGAAACTTCTGGATCAGAATTCAGTGCATTGGCATTTGCTGTCTCCAAACCATAGTTAACTTTCCTGAATGCACTGCAGTGAAAAGTCGGAATCACTCATGCCACTGCAAGATCTAAACTTGCTGTGAATGATGGCAAAAAATCTACACAAAAAATTTCTGGAGCGAATCTCTTCCAACTATACAGCCATTAGATATCTGTGCTCCTCCATTCTGTCAGCTGGAGCATCTCTGATTTCAATTGCACCAACATTGGTAGCTGCCAGAGCTCTAACTTCTGGAATTCTCTACTTAAAACTCTCCATTTCGCCAACTTCCCTTAAGATGTGCTTTAAAAGCTACTGCTGTTGAATGTTAAGGGGAACTGGTTACATTCTCTGTTGGCAATAATGATTGATTGATGCCACACAAGTGCCAACGTTACTTGCCACTTAGGTGGATTGGCTATGCTAAATCGCCTATAGTGTTCAGGGATGTGTAGATTAGGTGGGTTACGGGGGGGATTGGTCTGGGTGGGATGCTGCAAGGGTCACTGTGGACTTGTTGGGCTGCAGGGCCTGTTTCCACACTCTAAGGATTCTATGATTGCCTGATCTATGATTATCAGCCTAGGCTGATTGGGCTTGAGTGACAGATCGGCCTTTATCAAAACAAATGGCAGAACAAACATCATAGGCTGAATGGCCTCCCCCATTCCAATGAACTACTTTTGTGACATCTGCTTAGTTCTGAAATTAGTGCAGAATTTAAACTCATTGAAATGAAAGGATCTTTTCAATAGTGGATTTTGAGTGAGGAAGAACCTCTGAATTTCTGTCCTAAATTTGCCTTTTGCTATTTTAAACATGGCCTCTTGTCTTGCCTTGTTGTTTAATTTTAAGTGATTTTCCATATCATTGGCTATCTCTCATTTCTTTCAAATATCAGTCCTTGAAGCCCAATGTTCCATAATGCGGATATCAAGCTTCTTTTTGATGTTGCCTCATAAACTGGAAAAATTGAAACCGTGGAGTCAGCCTCCTCACTGATCTTCCCTATGTGCTAGAACACTAGAAGACTCTATTTTCTTGTCAGAACAGAATTGGATCCAGTGCTCAAGGGTGTCAGACCAGACTGTGACAACGTAGAAGTGTTTATGTGCATGAGTCATTAAAAGTGCAGGACAAGAGAATGCAGTTAATAAAACACGCAATGTTCTAGGCTTCATGAATGAGGGCCTGGAGTACAAGAGCAGGGAGGTGATGATGTATAAGACATCGCTTAGACCTGAGCTGGAGTTCTGGGTGCCTCACTCTAGGAAGGATTTGAACAGATTGTAGAGAGTGCAGAAGAGGTTTATGAGATTGATACCAGGGATGAGACACTTCAGTTAGGAGGAAAGATTGGAGAAGTCGTGATGTTTTCCTTTGGAGAGGAGGAGGCTAAGAGGAGAATTGATTAAAATTCTCCAAAATCATGAGGAATCTGGGCAGACTAGATGGGGAGAAATTGTTCACATTTGTAAGCAAATTGAGAATCAGAAGGCACAGTCTTAAGAGTTTTTTTACAAAAGAAGCAAACATGAAGTGACAAAAACTTTTACACCTAGTAAGTGGTTTGGGCCTTCAGTGAACTGCCTGGAAGTCTGGTGGAAGCTGGTTCAATTGAGGCATTCAAAAGGGCATCAGATGTTTATTTCCATTTAAAGTATGTGCAGAGTTACAGGGAAAAGGCGAGAGATCAGCACTCAGTTATAATGTAGACGTGATGGGCCAAATGGCCTCTTTGCGCCCTAACACTTATTAAAATCAGGGTGGATCCAACCAGAACTGTGTGTGGGTGAACCAGAGAACCATATAGCTTGGTGACTGTACCTCACAGGCTTTTTTATTATTCATTCAAGGGATCTGGGCATCATTGGCTCAGCTAGCTGTTATTGCCCGTGCCTAGTTGCCCTTGAGAAGGTGGTGGTGAGCTGCAGTTTTGCAGTATAGTTTACCAATCCATTAGCATTATTGAATGCAGCTCCACACTGGATTTGGAGAGTTTATCAGGTGTTTGATTATTATTATTAATTTTGGAAAATGTTTTCATTAAGAAGCTGATTGGCATTTCAACTACACATTGATGCTGATTTATTTTTAAGCAGTTGTGAGCACACAGTATTTTAAAACCAATAGCTGAACCTTGAGCCTATCCTGTGAGGGCTGGTGTCTGATGCTAATGAAAATCATACTCATGATTTCTGTTTGGCTGTTGTTTTGTTTTAGTGACAATGCTCAGGTTTTTCAACCAGATGCCCTGCGCAATCGGAGAAACAGCACCACTATCGTGAACCGGCATAGTCAGGTAAAGAGAACACTGCTCGTGTGTGTGTGTGTGTGTGTATGTGTGTGTGTGTGTGTGTGTGTGTGTGTCTCAGCTCAAATGTATGTACATTTATGTTAACCTCATGAAGTTGTAAATGGTCCTGATGGAATCATGTGTATCTAATGTGAGTAAATCTACTAGACATTTGTGACTCTGTTGAACTCCTTGCTAGTTCTCTTCCCTTTTTTCCGCCATGGATTATAGATGGGAATTAGCTAGTATAGCTAAATCAGGAAGAAGTAATTGTTAACTGCAATTATTGGTAGGCAGCAGGAGGAAAATTGGAGCTATCTTTTTTTCTATATGTCAAATTAAAGCATTGATCAGTAGCACTGGGGACTATCATTTTCATAAGAGCACAAGAAATAACAGTAGGTGTAAATATCGTGGCCCCATGTGCCTGCTGTCCAATTCAATGTTATCTTTTGCTTCCATTCCATTTTCCTGCCCAATTCCCATATCCTTATTTGATTGAACATCAGTATATGCAAGACTACAATAAACAGAACAGTTTAGCATCCACATAATGTAGGATCAAGAATACTGAAAGATTCACAGTTTTCTGAGTGAAGAAGTTATACAGGATGTTTTGGCTATGAAGGGAGTGCAGCGAAGGTTTACCAGACTAATTCCTGAGATGGCAGGACTGATGTATGAGAAGAGACTGGATCGGTTAGGATTATATTTCCTGCAGTTTAGAAGCATGAGGGCGTATCTCATAGAAACATATTACATTTCAGCAGGATTAGACAGGGTAAACCCAGGAAGGATGTTTCTAATGGGAGGGGAGCCCAGGATTCTCAGTCTAAGAATATGGGCAGGCTGTTCAGGAGTGAGATGAGAAATTATTTCACCTGGAGAGCGGTGCGCCTATGGAATTCTCTGCCGCAGAAAGCGGCTGAAGACAAACATTGAATGTTTTTCAAGGAGCAGAGAGGTATAGTTCTTCAGGCTAAAGAGATCAAAGGATATGGGATGAAAGCAGAATTAGAATTATGTTTATTGTCATATGTACTCAAGTACACATATACAAGAGGACAGTGTAAAGTGTGCAAAATCGACATTTCCAGCGCCATCTTAGGTACAAAGATACCTACGTACAAAATCTCAAGTATAAATAAGAAAATTGGAAAAAAATGTTAAAAGATCAGCAGTACAAAATCTTAAGTATAGATTAGAAAAATAAAGAAATACAGGTACAAGTTCAGCATTACAGCCTTTCTAAGGCAGGGAGTCCACACTGGGGTTCGCCTCGAGGATTCCAGGGGATCAGTACTGGGCTTTGCCCCAAGGATTCTGGGGGGTCCGTGCTGGGCTTTGCCCCGAGGATTCCGGGGGGTCCGTGCTGGGCTTTGCCCCGAGGATTCCGGGGGGTTTGTGCTGGGCTTTGCCCCGAGGATTCCGGGGAGTTTGTGCTGGGCTTTGCCCCGAGGATTCTGGGGGGTCCGTGCTGGGCTTCGCCCTGATGAGGCCAGGGAATCCATAATTTAGGGTACTAAATAGAATGATCAGCCATTATCTTTTGCATAACAAAACAGGTTTAGAGGGCTGAATGGCCTACTTTTACTGCTATTTTCTATATTTCTACTGAACATAACTTACCTGCCTTTCAAGCAATAATCTGATTTATAAAACCTGAGATCCCCAATTTGCTGATTTTCTCCCAGTATATTTTGATGTCTTTGAAGAACTATGTGGATAAACTCCCAGGTGGTTCTGTCCCTGCACTCTTTAGGACAATGTTGCCTCCCCCACTTTCTTCTTTCAAAATGTATCACTTCACACTTCCTTGTATTAAATTTCATCTGTCACCGTAAAGTCTGCAGACACATTGAAGAATATGGGTGTCACATTTACTGCTCTTCAGTTCTCGGGCACCACCTCAATATCTAAGGAAGATAGGGACAAGCCCTCCTGTGACCTCCAATCCCACTTTTTGTAATAATCTGGTCTGTAATCTATCTAGATCAGATGACATATCAACTTCGAGCATAGCCAGCCTTTTCAGTACCTTTCAATTTTCAATCTATCCATTAATTCTACCACCTCTGCTTCTACTAATGTTTTGACTCTTTAGTAATTACCAATGCACAGTACTCATTGGGTATTCTAACCTTGAGTACTGTTGAAAAAGGAAATGCCATCAAGCTTTTCATCAGGACAGATGCAAGAGTAACAAATTTCAATGTGTCAGAAGCAAGATGCTGATTGGATCTCAAGTGGACTCTGGCCATCTGCTGTTCTGACAATGCCCAGCACACTGAGCTTAACAATACCCCTTATACACTCCATTGCGAAGGAAAACGGTAGTGAAGTAATCCAGCTCAACGGACTCCAGAGTTTAAAAACCAGGCAGGAAAACATAACAGCGCTTCATCGGAGGCTGCATTGATGATATTACCCAGCAGGGTAATGAAATGTCTGCGGAACAATGAACCAGCTCGGTGAGCCAACCAACCTCAATGCCCACAACCCGAGCTACAAATCTACTCTAGAACCTTAGAATTAAATAACATAGAACAAGGTCTTTTCCCCAGGGTAGGGGAGTCCAAAACTAGAGGGCACAGGTTTAAAGTGAGAGGGGAAAGATTTGTAAGGGACAACTGTAGATTTGGGTTTATTTATTTGTCAGATGAACTAAGTATAGGAATACATAAATACAGCGAAAAGTGCACAAAGTCGCAATTCGCTGCCACCCACTTGGTTACAAAAACCAGAATTGAAAGACTTAATGGAGCCAAAAGGTAAACAAGACAAAAAAAGAGAAGTCCAGATCTCAAAGACCCACGTCCCAACTCCACAATGATGCGGTACCTCTCCAATCGCTAGGATTACCAGGAGGCTGCTGCCTCATCGCCTCACTGACCCACTCTCACCGCCATCGCCTCACCGACCTGCACTTGCCCCCGTCGCCACACCGACCCGCTCTCACCGCCATCGCGTCACCAACCCGCTCTCACTGCCAACGCCTCACTGACCTGCTCTCACCGATCCGCTCTCACTGTTATTGCCTCACTGCCCCGCTCTCGCCCCCATTGCCTCACTGCCTCGCTCTCACCCCCATTGCCTCATGACCCGCACTCGACCCAATCGCCTCACCGACCCGCTCTCACTGCCATCGCCTCACCGACCCTCTCTCACTGCCATCGCCTCACCAACCCTCTCTCACTGCCTTCGCCTCATTGTCTCACCGACCTGCTCTCGCCCCAATCACCTCACCGACCTGATCTCACCGCCATCACCTCACCGAACTGCTCTCACTGCCATCGCCTCACCGACCCGCATACACCGCCAGCGCCTCACCGACCCGTTATCGCCCCCAGCGCCTCGCCGACCTGCTGTCGCTCCCACTGCCTCACCGGCCTGCTCTCACCGACCTGCTCTCACTGCCATCGCCTCACCTACCCGCTCTCACTGCCATCGCCTCACCAACCCGCTGTCGCTCCGACTGCCTCACCGACCTGCTCTGACCGTCCCATTCTGGCTGCCGTCACCTCGCTGTCATCGCCTCACCGACCCGCTCTCACTGCCATCACCTCACCGACCTGCTGTCGCTCCAACTGCCTCACCGGCCGGCTCTCACCTCCATTGCCTCCCCAACCCGCTGTCACCTCCATCGCCTCACCGACCCGCTGTCACTCCCACAGCCTCATCGGCCCACTCTCGCTGACCTGCTGTCAGCCCCATCACCTCACCGACCCGCTGTCACCCCCATCACCTCACCGGCCCATTCTCACCAACCCGCTGTCGCTCCGACTGCCTTACTGTCCCACTCTCACCGCCATCATCACACCGACTCGCTCTCGCCCCCATCACTTCACCAACTCACTGGCCCACTCTCACCGACCCGCTCTCACCGCCATCGCCTCACCAACCCGCTATTGCTCCCACTGCCTCACTGGCACCCCTTTACCGCTGAACCGGCCCACTCTTGATCTGCCACCATTGGCCCGGCCCACACTCAATCCACTGTTGCTGCAGGACATGGCCCATGCATTCAGCCCCCTCCACGTGGTTCCTGGTCATGACACAGCTCCTTCCCGACTCTTTAGGTAGGTAGTTAAAAGAGTGGGGGTTGGTGGTGGGGGATGGGGGAATAGAATCACTGCAAAGAAGAGAGAGAAGAAGAAGAGGAAAAGGAAAGGGAACTGGCGAGTAGAGTGACATTCCGAATGGAACGACTTACCCTGCCGCCATCTTGCTGGAACCTCACATCTCAGTCTTTTTCACGCAGAAGGTGGTGCGTGTATAGAATGAGCTGTCAGAGAAAGTGGTGGAGGCTGGTACAGTTACAACATTTAAAAGGCATCTGGATGGGTACATGAATAGGAAGGGTTTAGAGGGATCTAGGCCAAATGCTGCAAATGGGCCTAGATTTATCTAGGATATCTGGTCGGCATGGATAAGTTGGACCAAAGGGTCTTTTCCATGCTGTACATGTTGATGGCTCTATGACCCTATTTCATCAAGGATTATTGCGGATATTGAAATCTCATGGTGCAGAGCGTAACATTGACGTGGATAAAATGGCTGGCCAACAGGAAGCAGAGAATGGGAATAAGTGGGTCTTTTATAGGCCAGTGGGATGAGTGGTGTGCCATAGGGGGTCAGTGCTGAGGCCTCAACTCTTTCCAATTTAGATGAATGATTTGGAAGAAGGGATCAAAGGTATAGTAGATAAATTTACGGATACACAAGCATAGTTAGGAAAGTGAGTTGTGAAGAGAACATAAGGAGACTACAAAGGGATATAGAGAGATTAAGTGAGTAGGCGGAAATCCAGCAAGAGGAGTACAACGTGAGAAAGTGTGAAGTTGTCTGTTTTGGCAGAAGGAATTAAAAAAGCATATTATCTAAATGGTAAGAGTTTGCAGAGTTCTGAAATGCCAAGAGATCTAGGTATCCTAGTGCATGAATTGCAGAAGATAAATATGCGGGAGAATCTAGAATTAAGGTCATAGTTTTAAAAAATAGGGGAT